ATTACCACGCCCTGCCAGTCCCTGATTGGTTGGTCAAGGTGAGATATAAGTCACTTACTCTTGACACTTAGGAATGCAGTCCAGATGTCCATTCGGCACTCCCTAGACTGATAGGCGCCAATGGATGACCATTGATCATGATAGCCAGGCTTAGCTAATTGCATCCCTGTCTGGGAGTTTGTTTCACAAGAAAACATCTTAAATCAGCTTGCATGAATTCTTTCTCTGTGGCTGCACAGAGATGGAGGGTGAGATGGGGCCTCTTTTAGGAGCATACCAATGCTTAATTCTGTCTTATTAACAATCATTGCCGCTACAGTTACAAGAATGGTGTTGAGCAAAGGAACCATTAAAATATCCCAGACAGGACACATTTTCTTTTCTATTGGCTACCACTCTCCACCACCTTCAGATTACTAACACATTTTTATTGCAAGAATATTCTTTCCAATATAGTATTGCCAATAGTATCCAAGCAGGAACCTGTCATTGCATTGTGTCAGCATTAATTAAGATAATCGTTTCAGCTGACCTGCCACTAGAGGTCAGTAGGTCTTCCGTTCATCGAAAACTGCATTACATGATTCATCATAGGACTAATTAAATAACAGGTGAAGGGCTCCAGGCCATATTCTTACAAAGGATTAATTTAGACTTAGTTTTGTATATAAAGAGACACTCAGAGTAGTAGAAGGTGTTGGGTTTTGTGTTGAGTATAGTCCTTTGATTGAATAAAGTTTCTTCATGGTAATTTGATTTAAGTGTGTTTCTTTATGTCCTTGGTTCCCATCAGTCAGCAGCTGCGAGGTAGGCCTGTTACAGTCCTGTTACCCTTGTCCTCTGTACCCACAGTGATTTGTTCTCTACAGGTCCAGATCTTGGAAGCCAGTGACCGAGTGGGGGGGCGCATTCTCACCTAAAGGAATGAGAGCAGGGGCTGGCACGCAGAGCTGGGTGCCATGAGAATTCCTGCAACTCATGAGTGAGTGTTTCCCTGGAGTGCTAGCTTCAGGATTTGGCACAAGATGAGCTGAAATAGTGCTGATGTTTAACTTTTTCCTATTGAGTAAATTGGTAGAACAAAACTGTGATTATTGGTGCAGCTGAGAAATTAAATGTACATTCCAGAACAATTGCAATGAACTTGGTCGCTGATATTAGCAAGCAGCTCTGTACTAGCTTGTTCTCAATTGCAATGAAACCAAAGTAACAGCTGCTGCCCTCTAGTGATTATAAAAGTTGGGAACTAACTTTAACCTCGTCATATACAGTAGTTTAAGCATCTTGGTAGCGTACTAAGCAGAACACTGGATAATAATAATTGCTTACACTTATATAGCACTTTTCTGGACACTACACTCAAAGCACTTTACAGGTAATGGGGACTCCCCTCCACCACCACCAATGTGCAGCTTCCAAATGGATGATGCGATGGCAGCCATAGTGCACCAGAACGCTCACAATGCATCAGCTATTAGTGGGGAGGAGAGCAGAGTAATGAAGCCAATACATAGATGTGGATGATTAGGAGGCCATGATTGGTAAGGGCCAATGGGAAATTTGGCCAGGATGTGGGGGTTACACCCCTCCTCTTTTCAAGAAACACCCTGGGATTTTTAATGACCACAGAGAGTCAGGACTTCGGTTTTACGTCTCATCTGAAGGACAGCGCATGTTTACAGTATAGTGTCTCCGTCACTATACTGGGGCATTAGGACCCACATGGACCACAGGGTGAGCGCCC